CCCTACTAAGGCCCAACAAGGCTCGGGGGCTCAAGATACGAAAAGCCCGGGTCTGCGACCCCGATCTTGCCCCATCCGGTTACGCTTCCGACTGCGCTCCAAGGACACCTGGGTCTGCGACACCGATCTCGCCCCATCCGGCTACGCTTCCGACTGCGCTCCAAGCACCTGGGTCCATGACCCCGATCTCGCCCCACGAATCCGACTCACCCAATCCCACGGTGCGCATCGACACCAGGATCAGAGAGCTCTGTCCCGTCCAAACTAATTCCCTACTCAATCCCACGACGCGCATCGACGCCAGGATCAGTGAGCTTCGTCTCGTCCAAACTAACTTCCTCGCCCGATCCCATGGCGCGCACCAACGCCAGGATCAGTGAGTTTTTTGTCTCAAATCTCTCAAAAAACACCTCGGCTGCACAACGACGTCTTGGTTAAAAACTCTGTCCCAACTAAACACACGCACACACGCCCGTAACTGAAAACCCCCCCAGACGGTTCTGCCCGAACCGCCCGGGGGCTACACCCGCGGGTGCGCTCGCGCGCACCCACCGTCGAAAATAAAATCCCCCAGACGATTCTACCCGAATCGCCCAGGGGCTCGGGGGCTCCTGTCGGGTTCATAAACCCGGGGTCCCTCGGGGACCGACTTCCACGCCAAGGCTCGGCCCAAGCGGGCAACACACAACTCATGGGCCGGCCCAAAGATCTAAAACAACAGGCCAAAAGAGCGGTCTAGTCACTGACCGGAAGGTCTGGCCGAAGAGGAACAGCGCCCGCTCGTCGACTACTTCGGCCCACCTCTCCGATCGGAGCGCTCGCTTCGGACTCCAGCAGCCTCCGGACAGCCTCTCCGATCGAAAAGCCTGGCCCAAAGTGCTACTTTCGACTCCAACCCCGCGTCTCCGACTGGGGTTCACAGAAACTCTGCTCACCGCTCTTCTCCGACTGGCGCGACCAGGGCCGACTGGAACCGTCCGACCGGAGACGCCCGCTCGAAAGGAACCAGGGGACGAACAGAAAAAGCAAGTCAGGGCGCACAAGTCAAACCACGCTACCAGGGACCATACCCTGAGCACCTGCGAGAACAGTACTCTCCAACCGCCCTAACACAAACAGTATTGTAGGCGCCGACATTTGCCTCTACAGTGTTGTAGGCGCCGATTAACTCCCATACGGTAAGGCCCCCCACGTGCCTCTGGGCATCGATAGTATTGTGGGCGTCGGATTTTACCGTATCAGGTGAACGTGGTGAGACTCCTCACAAGCCTCTAGGCATCAACAGTATTTGCAGGTAACGACATTTACCATTTCTGAAGAAGGCAACACAACCTCCCACATGCATCTAACGTTCTACAGTGACATCAACAGTGTTGTGGACGTCTACCATTATCTTGTACCCGCCGGCATGGGCAACAAAGCCCAGTAGCATACGTACTCTCACTCTCTCACTTGTAAAGCCATCTTTTTTATCTATAAAAGGGGATGCGCTCCCTCCACCAAAGGAGAGCTTCTTTAGTCCTTTGGAGTAAACCAACATCGATCAAGTTCATTAGCTCACAACCACAGAACCGCCGGGTTCGTACCCCAAGCATACGCTTGAACACTTAGCTCACAGCGTAGCTCCTGTCGCTCTTGGCCCTTCCGACCGGAGCCGATCGGACCTTTGTACACCCCATCTTTCTCTCTTCTCATTTGTAACCCCACTACAAACTTCGAGCACCTGGGCTCAGGAATAAAGTCATTGACCGACCAAACTGAACGTAAGGCACGTTGCCTGAACCAGTATAAACCCTGTGTCATTGAGTACTAGGCCATCTCCAATCACAACGTCGACAAAACTACAAATATTTACTAGTTGGTCACATTCTGCACCGACAATACCTTTGTCATCAAACAAGCCAAACTTATCAACAAGCACCCTTGCACCACATAGAGAAGGAAGTTCCGCCAGTAGCCCATTACAACTTTGGTATTCTTAGTTAAAGGAAAGCAGACTTGATTTATGTGCCTGAAAAAACAGGATAACAGTTTCAGCATATTTTAATGATGTTGATACTATATGAAATGTTCATGTTGGCCAGATTAAACACAATTTGCCATAACAATGTCACAACTCGCGACAAACATCACTGAAGTGGAGTTGGTAGATAAACGTAATTGTACTAAGTTTGTTGTCAATAACACTACCTGTTATGACAATACAGTTGGGTATAGCATCAGTGATGCTAAATAGCATTGTTCACTATTTGAAGGCAAAAATGCAGCGGGGAATACAAGGAACTCGCACTACTGTAGTGTAGTAGGCAATATTCGGAATAACAAGTCTCGTTAACCAACACAACTGCTCAGGATAGCCACAAAATAAATGGTCATTTAGGCATATAGAACCTTAGGGGTGCAAGCGGGGCAGGCTGCGACAGCGGACAGTCCTTTTTGCGAGCTGTGTGGACACCTGCCACACAAACGCTTGCAAACCGCATGCACCCGGCGGGTCTAGCGGCAGTCTGCAAAGCCCACTTCAGCCCGCTATAGCACATTCCTATCTAATGGTGGCATACTGGCATATCGAGGCATAACTTGAACTAGAACCAGCACATTCAAAATAAAATAAAATAAAATAAAATAAAATAACATCTGGCACAGTATTATCCATATATTGTAAGTCCATAAAAATCATTGGGCGCTGAGGATACAAAATGGGTGCATGTCTTAATCCATCGTGTAAAGATTTTAATTTCTTTTATGAACCTTAAACCATATTTACATGCTCCAGCGTAGCAAATTGTACTGTAACTCTGTAAGCAAACAGCAGTGATTCTCTTGAGGTACAGAAGAAGGGCTCTATTGCAGAGATTTGAGGAATAAAACCAACATGAAACTCTTCAGAGTTCAGACAATATGCTACCAGCTTCAGGAACTTAAAAAAAATGACTAAAGGCAGAGATAATAAAAAAAAATCTTGCATTCAATGTTTGGACAGAGTCAGGATAATGCTAAGAAACAACTTATTGCGCCTCATCAGCTGCACGCCTACTGTACTGTACTAGATAGTATTAGTAACAAATTCTAGTATTAGTAACAAACCAGCAGGTCAATCATTGTTTGTAACAACCAGGCGCTAGGCTTCAAGTGTTCACTGCTTTTGAAAAATGCAACCACATGGGAGGCAATTTAATTTGAACCCTGCAGCACAGATCACTCTAAGAGGATATATAGAGTCTATCCAGCCTAATAAGTCCTCCAGTAAACTATCCGAAAGGAGAAAATAAAGTACATGCAGTTAGCATTAGTATACATTTTGTCCTTTTACTTCTCTTGCAAATGTTTTACGTGAATACGTGATGTTTAGAATTTGCATATTAGCACAGAAAGCAGGAAATTCACACAGAAATGAATCTAAAATTTGGAAAGAAACAGAAATGGATTAAGTGAGATGGACATAGATCAGTCATACTCCAATGGGAATCAGCAGGATTGATACCAACTCCATGTATCCAGCCTAGCAACCCAACAAAGAAAAAGAATGCAGGGACCCTTCTATTATTCCCATTCAGACTTGGAAGCCGTCGATTATTTGAAACAAATTGATACTTGTCTGCTGAGTCAATGCAGTCGGCAAACATGGCAACATTTATCAGGGTCTTTCATCTCTTCACAACAACTATAACAAGAAACACACAAGAGTAATAGGCCCTGGCATAGTTCAATCTAGGCTTTTGTTTTTTAATATTAAATGAAAAAAAGGCCTGGTCTGTTATGACTGCTTCTATGATATCGTTGTGATGATTCTAGCTGCTCTGCAGTTTCTGAACAAACCTACACGATGGATCACAATCTGGATACCAGCAGCAAGGGGGGGAGAGGTTACCAGGATGAGGTCACAGTCAGAGTAGTCCTTGCTGCTGCTGCTGCGCACACTTTTGGGCTTAACCTGGAAGATTGAAGCAAGCATTAATTTTGCAAGATCCACAGATCAAGGAAATCAGATAAGGAATGAGAAGATGAACACCAAAGGGGATACAGTGCATACCTGGGAGAAGTTGTGTAGAGACCTTGCCATGATGTAATTGAGCCACAGGCAACAGGAGATAGGTGTTACCACAGGGCTCAGTGACAGTGTGAGGCAGTGGTGGAGGCGACGATGCTCCTCAGAGTCGCACGCAAGCGAGCAGAGGGAGGTGAAGGACGGGCGATGGGAGTCCTCGCCTCTTTGAGGGCCTGTGCACGAATGAGCGGGCTTTGCTGATTGTCCACTTGTGTTAGCAGTACAGTCCACTTCAATCCACAACAGAAAAACAAGCTGCCCACAGGGCTTTTTTTGCGGGGCAGCCTAAGCAGGCTTGTGGGCAGGCCCGTGCCGCTTGCATCCCAATGGAACCTCCAGAATCTTGTAATGCCTTTTTATACCAGGTTAGACTAATTAGCTAACACACTTGGAAAATTTAAAACAAATGAGACAGATAGCATAAGTGAGAATTATTGCAAACTATTGTCAATGGCTGGGTTATGATTGTGGACATTATTATTAATATCACCAAATAAATTGATGCTCTCCGTTTTCAATTCCACATTTACTCATATGCTAGGTAATCCACATAGACTCATTAAAAATTTGAATATGATACAATTATTTCTTAAAAGAATAGTCACAAATCACAATCATCTACAAACTCTCAATGATTATGAGTTGTCTATTGTCTTCCACAAAAATGCGCAAAGACCCCTTAATGACATGCAACACCATGATATTGAATGTGTTGGCTGAAGCATTTCTGCCTTTGTTGTAATAAACATAGCAACTATACATAATCTAGTTTGGTTTTGGATTACTAACTTTCAAGCAGGAACAACACAAAATTGCAAAACAAAAAAAACATATTACCTTCTAACAAACTCCACAAATATGATTTTTTCGGAGTTTGTAAAGATCCATCCATACAGCAGATAATTAAAAAGATCCTGACCAGTGCATATAGCTTGAGTTGAATCTCTTGCTCTCATGTCAACCCAATCCATTTCTTGAAATTTATTGCTGCTTCTCGCCTTTTTAGTTGTGCTTCTGTTTGCACCTTGGGAGCCTTACCTTTGTACAATGTTCTGTGGTATTTAAGCCACAATGACTTGTATTTGTATTTGTCTATAAACATCTCTCTTTTCTCCATCATCTCTATAACTTCCATGGCTCGAAGGAAGAAACCACCTCTCACAAAGCAATACAGCAGAGAGTCTAAGAGCTCCTGATCAAATTTCATAGAACTTGAACTAGCCAGAAGTTTCATTTCACCCCACAAATCTGTCACTTCCACATATTTGCCACCAATGGCAGCATAAGCAGTTATTAAAGAATGAAAAGTTTGTGCATTTGGCACATGGCCAGAAGATCGCATCTTGTTCAGTGCTCTGTGAGCATCATGCATCAATCTCTTCTTGCAGAAGAAATGGATAACATTATTCCATTCATGAACAGCATGATCAACCATATGACCACTCCTGACTTCCTCCACTAGCTTGGTCATCAAAGCAGCTTCATTGTCATCTGAGCCTTGCACTAATCTCTGAAATTCCTTGTGACCAGCTTTCAGAACATTCAAATTCTTTAATTCTTTAAAAAGATGGAGAGCACCTGTGGTGTTACTGTGATTCACCCTAGATTGTATCAAATCCTCATAGCAGCTTGCATCAAGTTGAATGCCAGCTTGTTGAGCATCCTTCAAAAGTGCAGTTATGTCATCTTCATGTTGTCCCTCTTTGCAATAGGCTTTTAGGAGTGATGAATAAATGGATGAACCAACCCTAATTCCAGAAAATCTCATTTCATCCAGAAGATCATGTGCTTGCTCTAATAACCCAAGAGAAATGCATGCATTTATCACTTGAACAACAAAGGAGCTTTCAACAGATACAGGAGAATCTTCTTTGCTTGCTTTCACAAGAAACGACGCCAATGCACTGATCTTATCTGCTTCCAGAAAAGCTTTAACAAGCTTGGCATACATTGTTTCAGTTGGATGGAGAATGCCATGCTCAGATTTCACCAGTCCAACCTGTTCCTGCAGCTTATCTGTTAATAGCCTGACTAATTCTCTTGCATCCAATTCAAGTCTCGCAAAGCTGTTGTCTTTGAAGAATGAAGAATAACTTAGCATTTGGCTATTAGAAGAGCATGGGTTTTCAGCATCAGTTTTCTCATAAGGAAAATAAAATTTTCTATTTTCAACAGCTTCAAGAACGGCTTTAGCTGCTTCCAATGACCGCTTTGCATTCTTACCTTTCCTAAGCATATCCAACACCATATCAACTGCATGATCCAAATGTCCAAATTTCAAATGACAGGAGAGCAAGCAATCATAAAACTGCCTGAACTCTGATTCACTAAGACCACAAGCTTCATCAACATGCCTCTTTAACTTCTGAATCTCATCTCTGCGCCCATTCCTTTCATATATGTGAGCCATAACAATCAACAAGTTGACTTCAGGCTTCACCCCTATCCTAGGCATTAGTTCAAGAAGCTGCTCTGCTTTTCTTGTAGTGCCAAACACGAGGGATGCAGTCAAAACTATGTTGAATGTAAATGAATTGGGTTTCATTGATAGCAAAGGACGGTTACTCTTCTTCCGTGGATCAATTCTATTATTCTGGAAAAGATAACCAAGCTCCATTACGAGGTCTGCACCGAGAAATGCACCAGTGTTAGTTTGACACATATGAGCTAAAATTGCCGACCATGCTGCAACAGGTGGGTATGCTTCCATCTTTACCAACGTCCTCACAACATTTATAGCAAGATTAGGCAGAGCACAGCGTGCAAGACTGAGGGATAGGTAAATTAGGGGTTCCTTATCCAACAATTCTTGCTTCTCTTCAAATGCATGACTAACCACATTGTAGGACTGCTTAAGCCGGTGAGGATCACAGCTCTCTGCCAAGCCAGTGATGAGCTTGCTCAAAACAGACTTTCTTGGAAGTCCATCCATGTGAACATGCTTCTCATAAGCCCTCCATGCATCATCAAATCTCTGCTGATCAATTGCATTCTCTATTTCCAATGCTAGCTGAGATGGATCATGAGCTTGGACTAGAATAGTTCCTGTCACAGTGGAAAAGCAAGCACCACAACTACCAATATTTAGCTCCGGTTTCAAGATTTTTGTACTATTATCCCTACTTTGGTTAGTCCCATGACACTTGGAGTCGACGTAGTGTGGGCTGTCACGAGCAAACAAACGTCGTGGACCAACAAGTAATGAAGATACAGCATGGCTTGAATAATATCTTGAACTTCCAACACAAAGCATTTTCCTGCAACATATAACTAGGGTCAAACAGAAAGAACTCAAAACAATGAGTCAATGCTATTTTTTAATGCAGCAGGTTACACCGTTAGAATCGATGGACTTCAATAATACCCCATCTCAACTGCTAGGACAGTAAGCGAAACAAGGGGATCACAGCAGGAAATCAGAACGCTACGTAGTGAGACAAACAACTGAAACTGGGCAGATGACACAGCCAATTTAGCTAAAGGGGTACATTGCAACCAAAGTGGCTTTACAAGGGTAGCCATATATGAAAAAACTTTCCATGTTAATGTTCACATCATAATTGGTTTAGCATTCTGTGATGGGAATGTATCTTTTTGGGCCAGTTTGGCTCCTGCTGCACGTCGCTGTGCCGCAAGTCTGACCGCGCCACAAGTGTGGCGAAAAAAACAAAACCACACATTTGGCAAGAATCAGCATAGGAATACACAGTGAAGGGCGCAATGTAGGACTTTCAGCATGCACGAGATGTGGCATGCCACAGTTTGGTCATGGCGTGCTGCGGCCATGAGCCAAACAGGTCCTTTGGGTGAAACTAAACTGCTGCTACACCTCGGGTAGACTGATAATGCCCCTGAAGAAGAAAAGCCTAAATGAAACAAGGACGGGTAGGACACTTCATCTTCTTCATGCTGCACTTTTAGGCCTTGTTTGTTGTAGCTGCAGATTGTAAAAATTAGCTTCTACATTGCAGATAGTTAAAAGCTAGCTTGTAATAAGTTGGGCTGTAACTTGTAAGAGGGTTTGATTGCTGTTTTGTTGTGCAATTGTCTATAATAACCCTAGCTGTTCTGAGTTTATATTAGTTTGGTTTATCCTTTTGTATCATTGTTTTCCATATTTTCTCAGACTCCCACATGTTTGAATTACGATTTTTTTTTCAATTAAAATATCAAATGGTATGTCATTCCCACAATAGTAACTTTGTCCTTACAAATGGCCTCTCATGAAAACTACTGTCTCATAGGCATAGCAAAAAAAACTCATATTGTTTGAGCACATCCTGTTGACTACATGCAATCTTAAATATAATCTCATCCCCATATCCCACTACTTTCACTTGAACTCATCTACAAACAAATTTAGAAAAAGTTACAGGTAAAAGTAGATAATAGCTTGTTTTATGAAACAACTATTATCAATGACGGTTGCAGGGTATTACAACAAAGTCTGATCTGACTCTTGAGCATAATTTTAAAGCATGGTTTTTGAGGCGTTGCGGCGTCCTGTGGCGCTGGGGGTACGCCTGGACGCCTAGACACCTTCTAGGTGACGCCTAGGCGATGTGGCGTAACTAAAACCCTGTGGCATCCTGCGGCGCCTGGGGTACGCCTCAACGCCTAGGCGACGACTAGGCGACGTCAAAAACCATGTTTTGAAGACACTGAATCTTCTCTTATATCTTCGAAATGTTTGAACATGATTTTCAAATAGCTTTCTGATACTACTACTTGTGCTGTGACAGTTGAGACACAGTCAGCTGCGGTGTCCCAGGGAAATATGATTTGCAATAAGAAAAAGGGCAAAAGCAAGGTTCAGTATTGATAGTTAGGGATCTATTTCTTTTTCTTTTGTCCAACACCGGTTGAGATGGTTTGGACATGTCCAACGGAGACCTCCAGAGGCACCGGTGCATAGTGGAATCCTAAGCCAGGATAGTAACGTGAAGAGAGGCAGAGGAAGACCGAAGTTGACTTGGGTAGAGGCAATAAAAGGAGACTTGAAAAGATGGAATATACCCAAAGACTTAGCCTTAGATAGGAGTGCTTGGAAAACAGTTATTCACGTGCCTGAACCTTGATTGCTTCTGCTGGGTTTCAACTCTAGCCTACCCCAACTTGTTTGGGACTTAAAGGCTTTGTTATTGTTATTGTTATTGTTGGTTAACAATCATAGCAGGTTGAGAATTGCCAATTTAGCTGATGGGCAGAACATAAAATTGGAATGGGTGCTGCTCCTGATTGATCTTAACCAATGGTGGATCCAGAAGCGGACCGGGAAATGGGGGGGCTAAATAATAGAAGGCTAGAAAAGGAGGGGTTCAATTCAAGCTTTTCTCAAAAGCAAAAGTGAGCACTTGGGGTCATGCGTACATGGCCGGTGCCTAACTCCATTTTGGCTATAACCGCAGCAGCAACTATGACTTTTTGATGTAGGATTCCTGCTGGTTTTCTTTCACATTTTTCAGAGAACAAAAGTACTGAGCTGAACTAGGTAGTCCGTGCATTGTAACTTGTAGCGGTGGATAGTATTGGTACCTATTGGTCAGCAATTCCTTCGTCTAAGCATATGAATTGTTTGTCAAAGTATATGTCAGAAACCATATCATCAATATACAAACGGCCACTTCTTTGTTACTGGGGATTGGGGCATTACCTTGAACGCGTCCTCATCGTCTCCAATATATATCGGGAAGACATTATTAATGTCAGCAAAACCTTGAGGAAACCATGGCAGGCAAATTATTTAGCACCTCATCAGCAGTGAGCAATTTCATGGCTCCAAAACCCAAATCCAAAAGGCAGGATTTGAAAGAGAAAAGATATGCACTCACCGAGAGACTCAAGCAAGAACTGTATGGCGTTGCCGTTGTCCCACTTGATGGAAGTCCAGATCTCCAAGAGTCGTGAGTCGTCGGAGGAGGAGGGCGGCCGGGCGGGACCGCGGGGGCGACCTGGCCCTGGCGCCTGGCGGCCTGGGCACCAGCTGGCCGTGGCCGGGCCACGGAGGAGGGCAGCCGCCAGCCGGCAGTAGGCGGGGCGGCGGGCGGCGGGCGGCGGGCAGGACTGCAGGAGGCAGCGTGCCGGCTTGGGGAGGAGAGGAGAAGGGGCAGGCAGCGCCGGACGCCGGAAGCGGACGTGGCGACCGGGCGAGCGGGACTGCGGGACTGGCGCGGACGCGGAGTCGGGAGGGGGTGCGGCTGCCGGCTGGTGCGTGGTGGGCTGGTGGCTAGGTCTGTGAAGGGGTTACGAGTTGGGCTGTGGAGGGGAGTGTTGGGCTGGGTCTGAAGACCTCCTCCTAAATCTTTTGGCCCACGACCGGGGCTCCAGCCCTCCGCACACATACAAACCTAATAATTGACTAGTGCTATCAATTTTCAGAACCTAGTAATGGAATTGATTCTGCTCCTAAAAGACCAATGTCACTTAAAATGAAATCCATGAGGAGGCAAATGAGAAAGAAATGTACATTGTTAGCCGAGCTTGCCGGGAGGTGGCTCGGGCGAGGCACTCCACACACTCTTGAGTGGGGTAGAGAGGCTCCTCCAGAGCAGTGGGATGGCGCGGGCAAGAGCTTTGGGAGGCGCGCATCGTCAGCATAGGACCTTGTGGCCCATCTGATTGGAAGAATGCGGGAGGGGAGGCAGGGGAGTGCCTCCGACTATGGGGTGTCCGCAAGACGAGGCGCGCGAGAGGAGTGCGAAGCGGCGTGGGCTGACGGAGAGGGGATGCCTTGCTTAGGCCCCGTTCGCTTCGCTGAGCTGGAAAAACAAGCCGAAACACTGTTTCGACTGATTTGTTGTGAGAGAAAAACGATGTTCCGATTGAAAAAACAAACTAAAAAAATTGATTATAACAGAAGCGAGCAGGGCTTTTAAGTCCTGGACGTCAGTGGTCGGTCGTCGGTCTGTGCGATGTTGGAAGCACAATTTGTACTAGCCCCCCAACTGGCGGCTTGGGGAATGTAGCTAGCACATGTCTGTTTGTTCTAAAGCCCCCTAAACCTTTCCAAGTCCAGGGTTGGCCAAAACTTGAGGACCAGTCCCTAACAAAGGCACTATCCGGCTTTCTCACTCGACCAACCATTTTATTTTCTTAGGGACTAGAAAAATACACGTGCATTAGAGCATGTCTAGTAATTTCCATTTTTTTTACATAAAACTTGATTTTAGGCAGATCAATGAAAACAGGAGTCCAACGGTCCCCAAAATGAACTCTCAATCATTCTAGGCCTTGTTTAGTTGCCCGGAATCGGCAGTGGCAAAATCACTACGCGGCACTGTAGTGTCCTGTAGCATTTCGTTTGTATTTGGTAATAATTATCCAATCGTTGACTAATTAGGCTCAAAACGTTCGTCTCGCAAAGTACAACCAAACTGTGCAATTAGTTTTTTATTTCGTCAACATTTAGTACTCCATGCATGTACTGCAAGTTTGATGTGACGGGAAATCTTCTTTTTGCATAGTGCCAAAGTTTGGATTTTAGGTAACTAAACACACCCCTACGCTGATCCGCACTGCAAAACAAATGAGAAAACCACATGAAAAGATACGTGAGCCCACAGGATCCTGTATCAGAAATGACTAGTGCACGGACGTCCGGCGCAAGGACGCGTCCGGACCCAGTGCCCATGCCGCCTGCCCTGCCTTTTCCAAAAGAAAAGGCCTGCCCCACCTATCCTGCATGCAAATGCTACCCGCATGCAACTGTGCCCGCTTCGTGCCTACTGATGCCCGCCTCATGCCTACTGATGCGCATGCAAGTGGAGACCGCTACACATGCGGGGACTGCATTTACATGCGCTCGCTTCCTACGCCTGCTAATGTTGCAACATGAAAGCACTTATGTAATATACGTCTGAAACATGTAAAACATTTACAAACATACTTTTACAACATATGTGTATAGCAACTATAACATCCAGATAAACACATTTGCAACATACGTCTAAAACAGATGAGATATTTTGAATAGACGCTTGCAACATATGTCTGAAACATATGCAACATTAGAACATATGCAACATCCAGATGAAACACTTGCAACATAGGTCTGAAATAGGTGAAACATTTGGAACATACACTTGCAACATATATAGCCACTGCAACATATGCAATATCCAGATAAAACACTTGCAACATACGTTTAAAAAAGATAAAACATCTGAACATACACTTGCAACATACGTGTATAGCCATTGCAACATCTGCAACACCAGATCTACTTTTGCAACATCTAGATAAAACATATGTAACATACATCTGAAACACATGAAACATACGGTTGCAACATGTGCTCATCTACTTGTTGCCCTCCAATGGAGGCTAGTTGATGCGGCACGGAGGGGGCAGTGTGAGGCGCAAGGCACGAAGCGGGGCGTGAGGCACGGGCGGGTGCGTGGCACGAGGCGTGAGGGGTGGGGTGCACGCGGCGTGAGGCAGGTCAGGTGCGACCATGCGAGGCTTGAGGCCGGTGCGGGGGTGCACGCGCGTGAGGCGGGGAGGCGCAGGGGTGCGGGACGCAAGTGGCGTGAGGCGGGCCCGTGTGACCATGAGGGTCACTATTTTTTTTTGAAGAAAGTGCGAGTCGCGAGGTGCTGGGCCGCGTTACCTATCCTCTATCTACATTGGTGCGGACTTCTCCTCTCGTCGTTATTTTTTCATGGAGCGCAAGTCTTTGCCGGTGCTGTCGACGGCCCTAGCTAGCTATTCCGACGACCCGTGGGTATTCTCACTGAGGCCGAGACGCAGTGGGCCGTGCCAACTGGCTAAGAAGGGTCCGATTCAGGGATGCCTCGTCTACTTGGTGCACATGGCTGATAGGATACATACTGCATTGCATTCTGACCAAGTCCAGTTTGACTGTAACAGAATAACTAATGGGATATTTTAGGTTACTTTTTTTTTGTAATGGCAGTGATGACTACTCCCTCCATCCCTATTTAAGTGTCCCCGTGGGATTCAACCAGTTAAACTTTGTCGACTCTGACTCGGTTTATATAAAATATAGGACTTGCTAATTCAGATGCCTAAACTTTAGTTTTCTTTTAGGCGACGGTTATTGCATATGTTTTATACTGAAATTGCAGATTTCGTTCAATACAATTCCTATAGGCTCAATCTGCAATTTTCGGTACTAAGAATAAACAACCCATTAGACAAAACCATAAATTCGACAAAATCTGATTTGTGTTGGCACATAGACAATTTACAATTTACAATTATTTCTTAGTCAGACAAGGACAAAAAATTAATATGTTACGACACAAAGACAAATAACAAATCATAAAAATAACAATTTACTTGTCCTAGTTGGTGGTATAAGAGTATTGCCTAAAATTATCTTAAAATTCAAGCACCGAAAATATCTGAGAAGTAAGTAAATATTGGCAATATTTGTACTTCCAAATAAATTTATTATAAAAATAGAATCAACGATATATCTATTGATATACTAACAATGTACTATAAATATTAATATTTTATTTTATATATTTAGTCAAAGTTAAATATGTTTGATTTTTTTAGAAGTGAGAACGACAGATAAAAAAGGGACAGATGGAGTAATTTTTATTCTTTCTGGTTAACATATCAATTTGTAGGCCTTGAGAGCAGGGTTTTTTGCCCAAGTATATGTATTGTATTTTTTTTGTCATATAATAACGATAGTACGTACGTACGTGTTGGATATAATAACGATAGTACGTACGTACGTGTTGGATAATTTATGTTTTTCTAGATCCTATTACCATGTCAATCTGTAGGCTTGAGAGTGAATCAATAATAAGGAGTCTTCGTTTGTTAATTACGCAACGATACACCACCTTGATCGGACCGGGGAGGCGACCGGTGGCACGGGGAGTCCTAATAAGTGATCAACAGCTAATGCAGTGACAGGAGCACGTACGTTTTTTTTTTTTTGACACCTGAAGTCTGAGATAACTAAAGAGTAACCTATCTAGCAGTAGTACTAGCACCAGGAACGAATGAAGCAGAGTATATATTGCAGCTGCAGCATGTAGGATCGATCGGGGTCTTCTCCTCCGGCGCCCGGCGGGCGGCATACACGTCTTGGATCTTCTGATGAAATTAAAATAAAATGCCACCACACCTTGGTTGGTGCGTCAGCTGGATTCTTCTTCTTCTTCTTCTTCGTGGAAGAGCAGCATCTCGCGGTAGCGGCACTCGAGGCTGCAGAAGGCCATCTCCCCCCTGCAAGAATCCGCCGCCACCAGTTTCAACAAGGACGGAATTAGAAGCACAAGATAATTAAAGCACTCACCTGTACATGAAGATGTCGTTACCCTGTCCCAGGTCCTTGCTGCAGCCATGGTACCACCTCAGGAGCTCGTCCTCCACGACGACGACGCGGTCGTCGAATATGTGCGTCGTCCTCGGGTTGGGCCCGCGCGCGATGACGCGGGTGTAGTCCTCCGACGCTTCCATCATCTCCCTCGGCGACAACACGCACCGGCACCGGCTCCGGCTCCGGCTGCTGCTGCTTTCGGGGGAGCCCACCAGCGCGGACGACGACGCGGAGCTCCGGTACGGCCGGATCCTCTGGCCTGTCGTCAGTACCGTCGCCGCCGGTGGGAGGGCGTCAGCGTCGCCGTTCAGGGCGCCGGCGAGGCCGACCCCGACGGGCCTCGCCTCCCAGGGGCGCTGGTGGCTCTGCTGGCTCCGGCTCCGGCTCTTGCACCCACGACGATCGTCTCCGACTGATGATGATGTCGTCGCCGCCTCGCGACGGGAGAACCGGACGGCCGTGCTCGCCGCAGGTGTGGGGCTGCCGGTCGGTGCCTGCAGCGTGGAGGTGGGGCTCACCATCACGACGACGGCCCCCGCTAGCTCCGGCGGCGGCGAGAACATCAACGCCTCCTCTCCGGAGACGACGCCACTCCCTGCAGCCAGGAACAGCTTCGGAGGCACCTTGGGAGGCGGCGGCAACGGCGGAACGGCGGCGGTGCTCGTGTGACGGACGAAATCAAACGCGGCCTCGCGCTGCCGCTGCTCCGAGACTCCGCCGCCACCTGGCCCAGCCATCCTCCCCGACATCTTCGTTAGTTCCCGCTTTCGGCGATAGTTACACCGTGATCACTGCGTGCTAGCTGCAACAAGACGCGGTCAGGATCATGCACGCTGTAAATAAAACTAATATATAGGTTGCATGGACACTGGTTTTTGCTTTGCTGACCAGCTAGTACTTATAACTGATTCAAGAAGAGAGCATGCAGAGTAACAGAGCAGAGCGGGCAGCCATAGAACGAAGAAATCAAGCAATGGGGGCAAGGCTGATGATGCCTGCCTCTGCCTCTGCCTCTGCCTGTTAAATACATGCATGCAGCTGACCCTTTTCACATGCAGAGGGCGAGGGCGAGGGCGAGGGCGAGCGAGAGGAGGAGATGAGGAGCCCATGGCATGGCCATCCGATTGCATGCAGTAGGACCACGACTTGCATTGAGCAGATGCAATTGCAATGCAACAAATTAAAAGAGAGAAGAGACGAATAGTAGACGATAGACACTCATGGGCCCTGACGTAAAGGCGATGGCCCACCTGGCGACTCCGTTAACTCGCTAGTTGCCGCGTGAGTGGCGCCCAAGGATAATCGTTTGCTGCGAACTGTGTACACTCATGAGCCATGAGTCATGACTCGAGAAAGGAAAGTACACATCACTTCGGCATAGACACACATCCTCACTTAGGGCGTCCGATGAAGAAATCACCAGCGCGATGAACTGCAGGAACAATAAAAAAAAGGACGCGAGAATGCATGTTGTGAGAGAGATTTTACTGGGAAACGTGCGAGACTAGGTAGGTCAATAGGATTCGATCTAGACCGTCTCTGGCCAATATGATTCAATCTAGACCGGCTATTTGATCCCCGTTGGGGACGACCTTAGCAACTCTAGAAATAGCCTTTGAAATAAGGATCTCTATTTTTTATTTGACAACTCTCTAGTCAGGGGCTAATTTTTTAGCCTCAACTTAAGTAAGGGCCCCTACTTCCGAGCCTTCAAACAACTCTTCCAAGAGATGGTTGTCCCAACTTGCAAGAATACACAGCTCTTCTGAGATACGGCATTATGGGGATTTGATAAGTAGCCAACATCTGTATAACCCATTAAACTGGATCTTGGTTTCTTATGTAAAATAACCCAATGAAAGATCTCTTGTACCATTAAGAAATCTCAAAATAGTTTTAAATCCTACCTAATGACGTTTGGTAGGAGCAAAGCTTTGTCTTGCTAGTAAATTAATTGCAAATGCAATATCCAGCGAGGTGTTGTTAGCAAGAACCATAAAACACTCCAATGGCACTAAGATATGGAACCTCTAGTCCCAAAAAATTTTCTCCTTCCTCGCATGGTCTAAATGAGTCTTTCTCCATGTCTAGAGAGACCTGACCACCATGGGAGTTTTTGTTTGCTATTACTTTGTCCATATTGAATTTCCCCAACACTTTCTGGACACAAGCAACTTGGTATAAAAAAATTCCAGAATGAAGACACTCCAGTTGTAAGCCCAATCAAAATTTGATTGACCCAAATCTTTCATTTCAATCTCTGTCTTTAGATGATGACATAATTTATTAATATTGTGTTCATTGCAAATGATGTTTAGATCATCAATATACACCGAAATAAATGCAAAATCGTATTGAGGATTTCTTAATGAAAACACATGTGCAATCATCATTATTTATATATCGTTAAAGAATAAGGAATTCACTTAACCAATTGTATCGCATTGGACCCGGTAGTTTCAAACCATATAATGATTTCTGCAACCTAACACAATAAGTGTGCAATTTACCTTAATATTTGGTATACTGAGGGACTATATGGTAGAGCTCCTCCAACTCTAGATTCTCTATGAAAGTTGATTCTCTGATAGAAGTGTTTCTCTGACTGAAAATGTTTCTCTATGATTCTCTAGCTTAAACTCTATACATACAATTATTCTGTGCGTGAATGAGGAGAAGCTAGTTTTTTAAGCTCCTAACTCCCTAGTTCATTTCAGAGAATCACTTTATAGAATCAGCATGAAATCACTTCTTAGTAAAGAACTGTGTGGCAGAGCTCCTCCTGGATTTAGCATGGAAGTTGCTCTAGGAGCTCTGCCTTACAGGGCTTGATTCTCTCATGGACTTTCATGTACTATCTCAGAATCCAATGACCCATACAAGTATGTGATGACTACATCCATCAACTGCATAGATAGGTGATTTTGTGCTGCTAGTGATATTAAATATCAGAGTGTTTTGCCACTCATTGCTAGAGAGTAAGTCTCGTTGAAATCAACACGGTTCTTTGCGTAAAACCTTGTGCCACAAGCCTTGCTTTATATCTCACCACTTCATTGTTTTCATTCCGCTTTTGGATGAAAACCCATTTGTACCCAGAAGATACTAGGGGGTGTTTGCAATAGAACAAAAAAAACACTTCCCTTTTATAAAGAAAGACAATATTTTTTTCAATTGTATCCTTCCATTTATCCTAATCTGAGCGCTTCTTGCTATCAGACATAGACTTAGGATCTAAATCACATCGAAGGATGTTTGCAATTATTTAGAGAAATAACTATCAACAATTGTGGCCTTACTATCGTAAGACTCTCCAGTCTATATGAAATTCATGGCAATTTAATCAATCCTTAAAGGTTCATTGTGACTTTCTAAAATGATGGATCTAGGGTTTTCTAATGTTCCATTTTTAGTGTTTATGCACATAATTGAGCTAGCTAGATTATGGATCACATCTACTCATAGAATATTGAATATCCTCCGGGTGTCTATTAACCATAGATTAATTTGCACTTATAGCCTTCTTTTGCTTGCCAGCAATCAAATCTTGCTTCTTGGAAGTGCTTCTCCCCCTCTTGTTTCCAATCGGTGGCTAACTAGTTTGGTACCTCCACTCTTTTTGGCACATTCCTTAGAGCGTGGAAAAACTTTGTAACACCTTTATAATTAGTAAAAGCATCTGATAGGTCATAGCCCTTGGAGCCATATAGGTTGACTTGATCGGCCAACAGAGTTCCGGCTACACCGAGAATGTGACTTGGGCTTTAAGCTTAACTAACAACCCTTTTCCATTCTTTTTGAGCCCGAGGAAATGGACTCGCTCCACAAGGGCTAACCTTACTTATTGTTGGTGTTTGTCAGAGTTATTTGATCTCCTATGAAAAATCATGGTTGTTGTGTTGCGAGTTATTGGATCTTAGCTAAGCGTTCTTCAATTGCATTCGATCTTCAGTGATGTTCTTGGAGTTAGTCGAAGCTTTTCCCTTTTCATGATCTTATTGGATTCTTTTTGGTAGCCGCTATCGACATCTTATTCGTAGACTCGACCCACGTGCGGTGGACTCTGAGACGATCTTGGAGGTGGAGACCCCCATTGATCAATGACACCGACCCGTGAAGACTTGTGCCACTACTGCCTCGACATCAGAGTCATTGCAAAGTATAATTACTAGCACTTTACATTTATTCATTTACTAGTATAAGTGATGCATGCTATGGCTTGACTCTTATTTACCTTGATTGAAAACCACTTCACCCTGATTAACCAGCTCTATGCTCGCACTATTATATATGTTTGTCTGCTTGCTTGCATTTATTCTATCATACTTACATATGTGCCTTTGATATGTGATGTGTGGTGGATGTTTGGATGATATGTGGTTAGTGGATGGGGGTTAGTGGCAAGGCTTCCCTGCGAGATTGATGGCATGATACATGACGGGAGCGGAAGACCCCGAATGGGTGGTGGAGATGTGAGTAGATATGGAGATATTCCTTGTCGTCGACCTATTTCTTTAGAGATACTAGCTAGAGTGAGAGGATACCATAGGTTCATTGATGTAACACCTCTGGTGTTACGAGCTCGCTTAGCACTGAGATTACGACCGAAGAAATAGATCTATAAATATAGTGAGTCAGATACTTAAATGTGCTAATGAAATCTTAACAAGAAAATAGGAAAAGTAGTTTTAATTGTTTGGCACGAGAAGCAATTTTTATAAACAAAAATAAAATATAACTTGTAATTGGTACATAGATAAAATTTGAAGTACAAGTCAAGTAGATGAAAACGCAACTTGGGTTTTAGAAAACAAATGTTGTTGACTAGGGTTTTTGCTAGCTCAAAAATCAATTCGGAAATTAAAATTAGTCCTTTTCGTTGAATCGACAAAAATTTGAAGTTGTGTTGAAAGTACACTTTTTGGCGATTTTTAAAATGCAAAATAGTTAAATAACGCCCTAATGTTTTGGTTCTATTGTTTGGTATAAAGTGTGTGCTATGCCGTGAAATGGTTGTTGGTGAAGGTTGGTAAAGTTTTGACCGTTTAAAAATTGAACCAAATTCAACTCAAGGTCAATTTTCAAGTTTGAAAATAGTGTGACAATGCTAAATTGGAATTTAAATTCTGATTAAAATTCTTAAACACTAGTGCCATGTTTTTATTTAGTGATTTGCACCAAGGCGAGCACTCGAGAACGGTGTAGGTCGGGGTGGAAATGGGTGTCACTGTACTCTCGTAGAAATTGCCTAACTTCGTTAGAATGCGCTGCGTATTCAATCTGGTGCTCGTTCACGAACCAATGCTCAGCATCGTTCATAGCCGTTTATTTCACCTACCACGGCCTGCCCTGTCCTTTCCACGAGGCCTATCTGTTGTCTCGTGCGCCTTTAGGCCGAGGCCGAGCTGCTGCCGCGTACTGCTTTCGCCCTACCCTTGCTTTCTTGAGGACGCCGAGCCCCTATGACGCTCCCCTCCCTCTCTCGTGCTGCTCTGGCTCAACTTCGCTCTCTCCCCTTTTAGTTCTCTCGCATGCAGCTGCCAGGGCCGCCACGAGGCTCGAGCTCACCACCACTCGTCACCTTCTCACGCTTGACCACGTCGGGGACCGACTCAAGGCCGCGCCTTCCTCTCCGGCCGAGCCTCCTCTGCCACGCCGTGCTCCACTTTGCCGATGCGGGAGCCATGCTGTGCCTCCTCTACTTGCCTCACGTCGAGCCGCCTGGCTGCCTTGGCCAGCGCTAGGCCAA